TGTTCATTTTTGCAACACTTGTGGTGTTCTGCAGTCTGTGTTTTGTTCCTCGCCCTAGGAGGCCAGCCTTGATGACTCCCAGATGAGAAGGGGAGCTGTGCCCTATTCAAAGAATGTTCCTAAGGAGACCTTGAAGGCTTAGCAAGGATTCCTTGCAGGGAAGTCCATTTACGACAGGCAGACTTTTCCTGTCCACCCTCAGTGATCATCGCCTGTAGTGTTCCAGCCACAGGGGACTGTTGAGCCCAGTAGCTGGTGCGAGCCAACGGACTTCACCGGCAGCCCTCGTGATCTTGAAGACAGCAGCAGAAGCTGCAGTTGGTGCAGAATGCAGCAGCTGGACTGTTGACAGGGGTTAAGTGTTTTGAAGATGTCACCCCAAATTTAAGTTCGCTACACTGGCTGGGGGTTAAGTCTTTTAAAGATGTCACCCCAAATTTAAGTTCGCTACACCGGTTGCCAGTTTGTTTCCATGTGCAATTCAAGGTGCCCTTCATGACGCGGGACACTTGTGTCTGAGAGACGGCTTCCCCCTATTTCTTTGTGGCTGCCCCTCTGTTATGGAAGGGACTTCCCGAGGATGTGAGGAAGGTACCATCCTTACACAGTTTTCCAGAGGCTTTGCCTTCATTAGCCCTTGAGAGAAGATTGCCAGATCTCGTCAGTTCTCAGAAGCTAAGCAGGGTCAGCCCTGGAAGTCCAGGGTCATGATGTAGAGGCAGGGAATGGCAAACCACCTCTGAAGGTCTCTTGCCTTGAAGGTAAAGGTTCCCTTGCTCGAAAGCCAGTCAAGTCCGACTCTAGGGTTGCAGTGCTCATCTCCGTTTCAAAGCCGAAGAGCCAGCCCTGTCCGAAGACGTTTCCGTGGTCATGGGGCCGGCATGACTAGACGCCGAGGCACACGGAATGCTGTTACCTTCCCACCGAAGGGGTACCTATTTATCTACTTGCAATTTCTTGTTTTCAAACTGCTAGGTTGGCAGGAGCTGTAGCTAGAGATGGGAGCTCACTCCATCATGCGGCACACTTGGGTCTCGAACTGCTGAACTACCGACATTCCACAGCCTGCAGTTCAACGTCTTAACCACTTGAGCCACCGCAGCTCCATTTGAAAACCCTACAGGGTCACTATTTGGGCTGCGACTTGATGGCACTTTCCACCACCACCATGTAAATACAATATCTAAGAATACACCTTCAGACCATGACCCGGAATCTTTCTCCAACAAGGAAGGGCATCCGTGAAAGACGTGCAGGCGATCCTTGGCAGACAAATGAATGAGGAAATGGTTCTCTGAGAGTAGGAAGATTGGGGGGGGAATGCTCACATTTCATGGATTCGAACGAGCACAGGGTAATTGTTTAAAAGCATACTACGTGGCAAGGTGTGTCATCTCTAGCCTTTCAGAAGCAGAGGTGTTCCTATGTTGAGACTTGGTGTAACTTAGTAAGTGACTGAGCTGAAAATCATACCCCGGGTTTGAATCTTGCCTGTACCACTAGGTGGGCTTGGACAAGCTACTCTCTCAGCCCCTCCATCTACAGCACGGGGATGACAGTACAGACATACTTGTTGTGGGGATTGCAACAAGACAATGTACATGAAGGGCTTTGAATATTCTGCATGCTGGGCTTAGCAGAAGGGTCAACAGAGACAATGAGCACATCCATTTCCACTGTACTGCACTGTAAGCTTTTAGGCTGCTATCCCCAAGCTCCATCTGAATCCATACATGGGCCTGTTTCTCAAGGGCCAGTTAGGGAGTCCCTGGCTGGTCATAGCCTTGGTGGCAGAGCCTTGTATGCAGAATGTCACAGATTCAATTCCCATCTCTCTTCTGGCAGAGATCTAGGAGAGATGCTGCCATTCAAAGTAGAGAGAGGTGGGCTACATGTACCAGTACTCTGACTCAACATAAGGCAGGCCAGAATTATAACCTGGGCCATCTCCACTATCATCCCTGCATAGATCCAATGGCTCTTCCTCAGGAATTTTGTACATTCTAGGATATGCATGCATTTGTTTGTCTCTATCTTGATGGTTTTGTGTCCCACTTCCCATAAATGGGACTTAGGGTCCTGCAATGTGTAAAAAAATGAAATATTGTAATAATCTAATCAGTCAAATATCATTATCAAAAAATAATCAAAATCAACTGGCAAGGTCAGTAAAGCACAACAAGCAAAATTCTGTATAATGAACACCAAGAATGCTTTATGCAGCTCCTGTGAATGGGCTGAGTATACAGACCTGATGTCCTCTTTTTTGGGGGGAGGGGGATTCCACAGCCATGGGGCCACCACCGATTAGGCTCAGAAAATGTAGCCATCTGACAAAGGGTCTCATCTCTCATGTATTCTGCTCATTGTGCTTCAGGAATGTTTTAAATTGGCAAATGTGGTTTCCTAGCACCAGAGAGCCATGAATATATTATTGTACCTATTAACTTCCAGTTAAGGAATTCTTGGCTTTTTGTTCCTTCACTTCAGTGATTTAAAGTCTGGGTTTTGATCGTTTGCCAGTTTTTCAACAGAGAATTCATAAGTCCTGATTAGCGTGTGATAATAGTGTTTAATTAACATGCTGGGATGAAATATCGAGGTCTCTGGTTAGCTGCCCATATATCAGTTTATTTTCAGAGGTCTGGAAAATTAGCTACTGTAAATAAGATTTCAAATTGGGTCCCCTCCGGGAAAAGGAAGTAAAGGATAAATCTACAGTAAAGTGCAACTGTTATGGTGTAGATGAGTTAAGCTGGACCTTTGGACTGAATGCATTACAGAGAAAATGGAGCAATGAGCACTATATGCTAAATCTTAATTGCCAGTGCATGGACTTTCATACAAATGAAGGGTATTTGGCATGCCTGAAGGTTTTGATAGCGTCATCCATGTCCCAGGGAAACGTAGTGGGGTATTCTTAGTGGTTGCCCCACAAATGTGGAGCTTCCTTACCTTAGAGCAGGGGTGGCAGCAAGATACCTGTGATCTCACCCATCGTGCAGTTTTAAAAGGCTCCTGATGGCCGTGCCCCATGTTAATGTTCTTGTGTGGAAAAGAAATTCTGTGGAGCAGGAAGTCCATGAGAGAGAGAGAGAGAGAGAGAGAGAGAGAGAGAGAGAGAGAGAGAGAGAGAGATGGAACCCAGATGCACCCACCAGAGACTGTAGGTGGGGAACCCCATTGTCTTTAATGCATTTGGTAAAGCAGGAGAATGTGCCACAGAGATCATTTAGCAGAAGGTGAGATCTGAGATTTCATAGTAGGGTTTATTTTCTGCTATATGTTGCAGTTCTATTTCATTTAAACTTAAAATAGCCAGCTCTACTCGGGCGTTGTTTTGGGTAACTCCGATCATTCGGTAACTTAGGTTGATTGACCTTTTTAAAAAAAAAAAAAAAGAATAAAACTCCCCCCCCCCCCCGAAGATGACTGTTATATTCCAGAAACATTTCTAAAATAGTTTCTAATGGGGTCGATTAGCAGAAGTACAGTCTAGGTGTTGCCTCATGCCCAAGTATCCATTTGATGGATATTTGCATTTATATTTTTATTTTATTTTATTTTATTTGCCTGTGCAGGGGATGTAATGGGGAGGGGGGGTGAACTTTAATGAAAGGAGTTCAGCGGCTCCTGTAAGACACCACTCGCCTTAAATTGAAATGACATGGGAAGGCTGTCAGGCTCCTTCGCGCCGTCTGTTCAGCCGGCAGTATGTGAAGATCACCATCTGTGGGGTTTTCTACCCCCCTTCTGTCATGCCCAAAAGCTTTTGCTGAAAGTTTTGAGAACAGTAAATCCCAAACTGTGTGCCGGGGACTCTCATGAGAGATCAGCTGGTATGCACACAGATGGGCATGGGTTAAATAATGAGAGACTCTTGGTAACCCTAAAGTGTACCTGTCCACAGAGAGGGCTGCCTGTTGATTCTCTACATGAGTCACTGTTCTGGCCTTGCCTCCTTCTAATTGGCCTCTGCTAGGGGTATGTAATTCTGCCCAGACGGTGCATAAAGTATGACAGGATCACTCTGTCACTCCCAGTGGAGGATGCAGCAAAGTTACCTGCTGTCGGGTGGGCATCTCTGTATGTGATGCTACTCCGGCCAATGTTCCCGCTAAGCTGTGGAGTCTTGTGAGAAAAAATTCTACCTTGTGAGCTACTGGCATTAAAGTTGTGAGTGAGCAATTAGGCTGCTGCATAAATCAGTTTGCTCTAGAGCCAGTCTTCCTGAACTAAGACAAAAATGTGTGAGCAGAAGTAGGCTTAGAGGGAACACTAACTCCGGCCTGATTGCCCTCCACTCACTGTCTGCCATTGGGTGCAACTTAATAACCTGACCTCAAAGGAGGCCTCTCCTTATGCCTCTGCATGAGTCACTGATTTAGATTTGCCACCTTCTAATGGGGGAAGGAGGCACACCCAGATTTGTGATTCAGATGGATGCAGAGAGAGCAATTCCCCCTAAGAAGAACTACTTCTGACTCCTCCACCCTTTAAAGACTAGATCCAGCCAACATGGCTCATTAATGAGCACATCTTGAGGTATCTCCCAATGAGGTCAATGGACCTTAAACATTTTCTTGTGGTGGGTTTGTGTGTGTGTGTGTGTGCACTTGAATGCCTGGCAGTCATGGTGACTTCTGGCAATCCCTAGTGGGGGTTGGATGTTTTAGAGAGGTGGTTTGATTGCATGCCTCTGCATCCCAAGCCCTGGTATTCCTTGGAGGTCTCCCTATTACTTGCCAGGATCAGCCCTGCTTAGCTTCCGAGATCTGAAAAGATCAGGCTTGCCTGGGCTATCCAGGTCAGGGAGGACCTTAAACATTTTGGTAAATATGCCCTAAAAGTAAACCTGATTCAGGTGTTGCGGTGACTGTAATTCAGTAATCTCCGATATCACAAGTTTGGACAACGGTTTTGTGGGAGGGGCTCTTCTAACCCTGGCATTCCTTTTCGATTTTCATGTCCTCCTGTTTCTTTCTTTTAAATCCTTACAGGCCATGCAATATTTAAACTCACATATCTAAGCAATCATGACTACAAACATCTCTACTTTGAGTCTGATGCTGCTACCGTCAATGAGATTGTGCTGAAGGTACGTGGGGTCCATAATGAAGGTGGGGGGCAATGATTCAAGGTGTCCATTCTCTTGAGTTGCTGGACTGACAAACCCTAGGGTCACCTGATGCTCAGGGTCAGGAGGGTTCTCATTAGTAGTGTATATGTCCTACCTTGAAGGGGTGTCAATTCACTCCTCCAGTCAGCAGTCCTGGTGGTGCACAGGCAGGGAATCAGTCCATAACCCCCTGATTCAGGGCCCCACCATAGATTCTCTGCAGCAAAGAGATTCCACAGTTCTTCACCAGGTAGATCCTACTCTAATAATCGGGCTGAGCTAATGCTTGAAACAGAAAAAGTTTGTACCACGAAGGGCTAAGTTCCCTGTGACCTTGGTAAGGGATGCAGATCTGCATCCGTTTGCTAATTTCCAAGGCTGCAGCGCTCAGTCTATTCAATTTATTAGTTTGATTAGCCAATTAAAAATCTGTTGATCAACTAAAAAGGTAGCCCCAAGTTATCAGGCAGCTGGTTCATAAAGAAAATTGATTATTTTAAATGCAGATACCAAAAAGGTGATGGTGCTTGCCGTCTGCTGTTTTTCTAAGTGACAGTCCTTCTTTCTCTCTTACACAGAAGGGAATGCCTCATCTAAAATTATACTTGCTAGTGAACATCATTTAAACACTAAACATGCCTTTTGCTTCAGACTTTTTTATTCTTATATAGCTATATGTAGATTTAATCAATTAAAACACAGTTAATTGGCTAAGATTTCTTTAGCTGGTGATGGCATTTCTTATTTTGCTTAATGACTGTAGCTTCTTATAGTCATGAACAAAGTGGTATAGAGAGCAATGGAGCCCTGCCCGCTGGCCACAGGGAACCTAGTTCAAATCTCCTTTCTCTTTCCTGATTTCTTAGATTTTTCTGAGCATTGCTTAAAGACTAGAAACTTTTTTTAAAAAGAAAAGCTAGCAAAATGCAAAAGACTTACTGGATGCTGAACCCGGTGCCCAGTACCTGGTTTCACACTTGGTCAGTGTAGTCACCAAGTACATTTATCTGTGGCCTAGCAGTGTGGGGTATAAATAAATTAATTTATTAAAATACTGAATACAAAATGATACACATGAGTGAGTCACCCAGCACACTGTAACAGAGGGCAAAAGAGGCATTTAACTAGTTTGCTCCAAAAGATGGTTCCTTTCTGACCTCAAGTATTAATCAGTTAGATGAGAGTTTGTAAAACCTGTCCATTGAGGCCTGATTCAAATAAATGCCCACCCATACCTACAGAGAGCATGCAGCAGTGAGTATGCGGGACTAGATTCACGCATATTCAAACCCCTGTTAAACTGTGAAGCTCACTGGGTGACCTTGGACCAGTTAGAATATAAGAGAAGCCAGTGTTGGATCAGGCCAATGGCCCATCCAGTCCAACACTCTCTCACACAGTGGCCAAAAATACCAGGTGTCATCAGGAAGTCATCAGTGGGGCTAGGACACTAGAAGCCCTCCCACTGTTGCCCCCACCCCCCGAAGCACCAAGAATACAGAGCATCACTTGCCCCAGAGTTCCAATCTATACCTTGTGGCTAATAGCCCCTGATGGACCTCTGCTCCATATGTTTATCCAATTCCCTCTTGAAGCCGTCCATCCTTGTAGCCGCCGCCACCTCCTATGGCAGTGAATTCCATGTGTTAATCACTCTTTGGGTTAAGAAGTACTTTCTTTTATCCGTTCTGACCCGACCACTCAGCAATTTCATTGCGTGCCCACAAGTTCTTGTATTGTGAGAAAGGGAGAAAAGTACTTCTTTCTCGACCTGCTCTATCCCACGCATAATATTGTAAACCTCGATCATGTCCCCCCCCAGCCGTCGTTTCTCCAGGCTAAAAAGCCCTGAGCGCTTTAACCTTTCTTCATAAGGAAAGTGTTCCAACCCTCTCTCTCAGACTAACCTACCTCACAGGGTGCTTGCTGTGAGGATAAAATGGAGGAAGGAAGACCCCTGTATACCACCGCGAGCTGCTTGGAGAAGGGCAGGGTAAAAAATGTCTATAGAGAGTTCCTTTTCAACTTGCCACCAGGAAAAAGGGAGGCATGGCCAGAGAGGACCGGGGGGGGGGGGCACATTCTGGTCACAAAGGCCTGGAGCAGCTTGAGAGGAGGGACTGGCGGCAGATGACTCCACACCACAAATAGGTGGCAGCTAATGCAGCATGCCGCTCGTCTGAATTTTGCCCATCTGCCTCTTGCCCGTGTGCATTGCACCCCTGCCATGCAATCAGAAGCAGACATCCAGCATGGGCATGGCCTCCATTCCTTCAGCGGCTGAAATAGTTTTTCCCTACTCCAGCCTTGGTTAAGTTGCATACCAAGTGGTAATGCCCTTGGAGCAGAACGCAGAATATCGCTGCCATTTGTCTCACTGGTAAGATTTGAGGAGGAGGAGGAGGAGGAGGAGGAGGATGGATTTATACCCCGCCCTCCACTATCCAAGGGAGTCTCAGAGTGGCTTACAAACTCCTTTCCCTTCCCCTCCCCACAACAGACACGCTGTGAGGTAGGTGGGGCTGAGAGAGCTCTGACAGAAACAGCTCTTTTTCAAGAACAGCTCTTATCAGAACTATGGCTTGCCCAAAGTCATCCAGCAGGTGCAAGTGGAGGAGTGGGGAATCAAACCTGGTTCTCCCAGATTAGAGTCTGCACACCTAACCACTGTACCAAACTGACTCTCACACCATTAACGCCATAACATCCTTCTCAACATCTGAAAAATTTTCAGGGGGCCGTGTTTCCAGTCCCAGCCCCTGGGTCACTCACAAGCCAAGGCAGCTGATCCACACACACACACACACACACACACACACACCTTAGTCATCAGCAGCTCGCAGGGGCACATTACACCATCTCTCCATTCAGCTACATTTGCATTTTTTAAGGAAGATGATTTTCTTTATTGCCGGGGTTTACTTTTTTTATTTAAGGAAATATAGCTTGCTGTACGCTTTGGCTGATTTACTTTCTGAAACGAAGACGCTAATGCTGCTGGAAGGTTAAACGGAACTTTCTGCCATCTATTATTTTTATGGCAATTTAAAATTTTCAAGTGATAAGCTTTATGTGCCATTTCCAGTCCTTAACGGGTTTTCCTGTGTAAAGCTTATGGAAGTGCTCAATAACTGACATATGCTAAGGAATTTCAGTTCTCGCCCACCACCCAAGCAGGAGAGCCGTAACTGCTTTTGCACCAAAAAGCATGAAGTTCTATCACTGACATATTCCCCCCTCATCCTCTTTTGTCTTCCCTAAGCTGTTGTTTCTCCAAAAGGCTCTTGCATCCTTGGAAGGATTTTTGATGTTGCTTCTTGGAGCCCTCTGAGGACAGATTGTTGGGGAGCTTTTGTGGGGAGGGGAAGGGATAGAATCCATCCTTAGAACTACTCGCCTTTCTAATTAAATGAACCAAGAGGAGGGGGAAGGATAGTTAAAACCAGGGTTTTTCTATACCTTGCTGTCCACCAATGGCAGTGGAGGCATGGGGAATTGTAGGTTTTCCGCATCCTTTCCATTTTCGTCTTCCTTAAGAAAAACCCAACTTTAAACCCAACTTTCAAAATAAGCATGAGAATGTATGGGCACCTCCTGGAGCAAAACTTGTCCTGAGAGAGAGAGAGCTGTTCCTAGTATGTCCCACAAGAAATAAATTAATTTAGTGAGGGATAGTTAAAGGCTTCTGTGAATTCAAAGCATCTGCCCACAGGAGATGAATGCCCATGGTGTGTATCTACGTGACATGCTTCTCTAGCCTTGCTTGCTTCCAGTTAGACTTTTCGGGGGACAAGCAGTTCTGCCACATCTCCCCACTGGGTATGGCTGGGTCATTCAGTCACGCCCAGAATTATCCATCCTTTGCCAAAGGTGCCTGTTCCACACTCTATGTGGGTGTGTCTGTGACTGCTCTGGGTTGGCCTCCTTACAAGGAAGAGGCATGCCCAGGACGATGAGTTACACAGAAGCCCCCACTGTGTTGGGCTTCTCTAGAGATGGGTAACTATCCACAGGCAAAGTAAGCCTTGTTTGGCTCCACTAATTAATTGTGCCTTCAGTTTGAACTTTCCAGATGACTCGTGCAAGCAAGTCAAACCACATATTCCGTGTTCAAAATGTAACTGTACATAACTTTGGTATGTGTGTTTTGGGGCTTAGAACATAAATTTCCCCCATTAATTCTTTATTTCTATCTAAAGGAAGTAGAGCAGATAGGATCGGATCAGAATTCTCAAATTATGTCTCCCCTTCCCCATATGTGATTGAGAGGTAAAAGACCCAGGATTTTATTGACCATGAAAACTCCCTCTATTTCCCCCCTGCCTTGAGCCCCTCATTTGCTGTGGAAGAGCAAATCCTCCACAGTGCATAAAATTGGGTGAGTTTTAAGCCACAGCGTATTAACCACCTAATGGCGGAGCAAAGGGCGTTCTTATCTTTTGATTTCTGCATTAACCTTCCATTAAAATTATCTATGTGATTATCGCCCGAGCACTAGAAGATAATAAATTTAAGGAAGAGTTGGCTTGTTAAATATCATTTAAAAATGCCTTCATCAAGTAACATGTGCCAAAACATAACTGGATGTGTAGGAATTGCTGAGTGCACAAACATCATATGGAAAGGATTGTTTTAGTTTTAGTGTTTAATGCTAGATAGTTAGCGGATGGGGAAAGTACTAACCGTTCCTTTCTTATGGCATTCATTTGACACACAAGAGCTGGACTGATGGTAGTTTTCCAGGTCACATAGTCGGCATGGCACAGCTTGGGAAGTTAACCAGGAAAGTCCCAAGCAGATGGGAAAGGAGCATAAAAAGCCATGTCTGTAAACCCCAGTTCTACTTATCCTTTTCTTCTTCCCATTCCCCAACCCCTTAATCAGCACCTCACAATTGCAAAAAGATTGTGTGTGACATTACATTAAGAAAAATCCCAGAAGAGTAGCCATATTATCCTGCTGCTATCCAAACAGCCCTTGCGGCACCTTAAAGATGAGCACATTTTTTGTGGCAGAAGAGGGCACTAGTTCACATAAATTAAATGGGGCATTAATGATCATGTGGTCTCCTGGCCAAGAGACTCTAGAGCCAATATGGAAGTTCCCCAGCTCAAACCTCTGCTGGACTTTTGAAGCCTCTGGGTAAGGCGATGAAGAGGCCTCTCTAGGCTTGGCACATTGTTGCCTCTTTTTTCTAGAACTTTCTAACGTACAGTCACTAGGAAACTTAGTAGGTAGACTTAGGTGAGCTACTGTCTCTCAGTCTCACCCCTGCACCTAATAATAAAAACAACAACAACAGTAATAAGGGTCTCCCTTGCAGGTTTTTGTAAGGAGTACAACAAGGTAATGTATGCGAAGTGCTTCGAACACACCAAGAGCGCTATGTAAATGCAAAGTTGTCTTCTTTATTAGTAGAGCCTCTCCTGATAGAGAGAGCCAGTTTGGTGTAGTAGTTAAGTGCGCGGACTCTAATCTGGGAGAACCGGGTTTGATTCCCCACTCCTCCACTTGCTCCTGCTGGATGACCTTGTGCATGCCATAGTTCTGGCACAGCTGTTCTTGAAAAAGAGCAGTTTCTGTCAGAGCTCTCTCAGTCCGACCTACCTCACAGGGTGTCTGTTGTGGGGAGGGGAAGGGAAAGGAGTTTGTAAGCCGCTCTGAGATGCCTTTGGGTAGTGAAGGGCGGGGTATAAATCCAATCTCCTCCTCCTCTTCTTCTCCTCCTCCTCCTCCTCTTGGGTCTTAGCCAGACTGAAACTCCTCTTTCCCGGTCTTTCCTAGGTGAACTACATCCTCGAGTCCCGTGCCAGCACCGCTCGAGCAGACTACTTGGCTCAGAAGCAAAGGAAGCTAAGTAGGAGGACCAGCTTTAGCTTCCAGAAAGAGAAGAAGTCAGGACAGTAGCGAGGTCCAGGCTGGGCTAGAACAAAACTGGAGAAACAAAACAACAACAAAGCAAAGCAAGGAATCTTCCTGCTCAGTTCAAAGCTGGCAATGCCCTGAACAGCCTGGGAGAGCGGAAGCCCAGACTCAAGAGCTCTGGCAGTAGCCAGCCGGGGCAGGAATTGTGTTTTTACAGGTCGGCAGGCCAAGCCTGCTTTTAGGCGACAGGCATCACTCATCGATGGAAACTAAGAGCCATATCAACCCGAGAACAGACGGCCAGGCTTTCGAAGCCTCTGGCTGGGGCGACGAAGAGGCCCCTGTAGGCTTGGCGTGTTGTCTTCTTTATTTTCTCTTTCGTAGAACTTTCTATTGTACAATCGCAAGGAAAGCTGTCGCGGGTTGGCAAAGCGATCCGCCAACACACACACACACACACACACACACACACAGAGCCTCCATCTGTAACGCCCTGACACACAAAACACCCCATGACGTATCGCTTGTGACATGATCAAATTTCTTAAAAACGAAACAAACTTGTAGGACAAATGTATCCGTTTTTACTACTAATAAACAAATGTACTCTTTCTGAAGAACGATTGGGTGTTTGGTTCTTTACCACAGGGCGGTTAGGAGCGAGGAAGTGCGCCGGGACTCTTCCAGATCCAAGTGTTCATCATAGGCACTGCGGAGGCCGCACTTGTCAATATCCGAATCCCATATGACCGTCAAGAGCCAGTTGCCCCCTTAGGCCAGGAGACAGAGAGAGAAAGCATTCACAGGTATGCAGCTGGCGGGAACCTCCTGCTTCCCAGAAGGCCATTCTCGCTTATCATACATGACCAGGCATGTGCTAAATGACAAGACCCACCACCCTGGCTGCCTGGCACTGGAGCTAATGATTTAAGCAGCATTAGGGATGTGCCATGGTTCAGTGCTTTGCGTGCTTTGCATGCAGAAAGTCCCATGTTCAATCCCCGGCAGCTCCTGCTAAAAGGATCAGGCAGTAGGGGGATGTGAGAGACCTCTGCCTAAGTCCCTGGAGAGCCGCTGCCAGCCTGAGTAGACAATACTGACCTTGTCCGATTCAGCATAAGGCAGCTTCTTGTATTCATGTATTCAATTTCAGCCAGCGCTCTGGCAAATTTGGCTAACAGCCTCTAGCTGCCTACTGTTGGTCTCCTCTGCTCTTGTGCAAGGGATTCATTTCCCACCAGGAGCCTCCTCCTGAGTCCAGGAGAAAAGCTGAGCTTTTTTGTCTCTGGGATGCGGGAAGCCCAAGCTCTTGCGCCCGATCTCTGGGAGAAGCCAGAGGAAGGAACCTCATTAAAGCAGTGGTTGGGTGCAGCCCAGCAAAGATTAATGGGGGCAGTTATTCACGGAGACACGTCTGTAATGGAACCATGAATTTCCGGAGGAATCTGCCGCCTGGAGTTGTTGCTACATTTCAGGAGGGAGCTCCGGCTGAAATTAATGCTGCTTAAATCATCAGCCACAGCGCCACGTGGCCTTCTTCATGGCCTCTGCCATGTCTCAGAGCAGGCAGGTGTTTATGATGTGCCAAAGAAGAGGGCCCAAGGCTCACAGGAGAGAGAACTGCCGGAAGGCTATAATTTGCAAACTTTCTACCTCAAGGGGTCTTTTGTGGAGGTGCCCCTGCATGTCTACTGCAGAAACCCCTTCATATTGCCAAGAGTTCTGGGGCATATCCTAGCATGTACTCGGTTAACAGGGTCAGGCCTTTTGGACCTCACCATAAACCCAAATGCACTGAGAGAGCACAAACTCAGCGCTATGGTATGGAGAAACATGGGTAACTATGGGCTGCTTGAACATCAGCCATTATTGATCTTATCTGAGGTGCCCTTGTACAACAATCCCAGGATTCTCTGGAATGCAGTTTGAAAGCCATAGTTTATAGCCCCATAGTCTTATCATAAGGGCAAAAGACACATACTAAGTCTGGCTCCACTTTAAAAGCCATCAGTAACCTACGAATTTCTGCTTTCATTTGTACACATTTCTAGTCCTTACTGCTGCCAATAGAGAAATGGGCAACATATGTTGAATCTCACAAACCAAAGCAGATCTCAGTAATCCAATCCCTGGATGTGGGGAAGTCGTTTTCAGAATTCTTCTGCTTCCCAGATTTTACCTGGCATTTTCAAGCTTCTTCCCACAGGCATGAGGACTAGAAACTTTTTTTTTCCCAACAGTAAGTTGAGTTTCTCAGGATACTGAGTTCTCTACCTCATTATTTAACAGTGAAAATAATAAAGGAATTTGCTCCAAACCACCTCTGTTTCCATCATTCTTCATGCTGGATCTGCGTATGCAGCAGATTGAGGTGATAAAGTCCAGGGGGGTTCCAATGAACCATTTCAAATTACAGACATAAGGTACATTTTTGTTAATGCTCCCTCGGAAAAAAACCCACTCTCTGCAAGGAGAAAGCTGGCACAGCAGGAAAGACCCCCACAGCCCAACCTGCTCCCATTTATGCTGGCTATCTGCTTGAAGGGAACATTACAAATGCAACCCCCATGCCTGCATTCTAGAGTGAAACAGTCCCGCTCAAGGCTCTGTCACCGCATTCTTCTGCTTGTGGGCTTGATCTATGCCTACAGCAGAGTGAGGGGGGGGGTAAAATCCAGGGGTGGCCAGTGTGGGAGAAGGTCATATTTGTGAGTTCTTCCTTGTGTGACAAGCTTTCCTGCAAGTAGAGCCTGCTTCCATTCTGAAGCAATATAGACCAATCTGCCAGTTCAGGACTGTACCACCTCATCCTTCTGCATGGGCCATTCCAGACTCAAAGGGTCCAGCTTTGGGATAAATGGATCTTACCACTCCTACACCGCAGTCTTCCCCAAGCCAGCCCCTTTTTCTGAGAGCCAGCTGCCTGCAGGCCGAGCAATCAAACAGTTAAAAGCGGCCTGTCATGTTTTATTCTCACTGCACACCTCTGCTTTAAATGTAAAAATCTCAACAGGGTGATGTTAGCTATAAAAAAAAGAAGCCCTAAGCATGATTTGTGAACTCTCCCAGCCTTGGTAATCTCATCAGAGTAATGGGATTATATTTCAAATCGGCACGGCCTGTTCATTACACATTTAAACTCCTTTTGACAGAGGAAAAGTTAAATAAAATGTGTGCGCGTCAGCCATGGTTGACTTTTCCTGGCTCTCTCTCTTGATTAGACAAACAGACGCTGAAGTCCAAAATGAAAAAATAATGCCATCATTTGTTCACTTTTTCTGACAAGTCACAATACATTTTTTTTAACTGCAAATGAGGCGGC